AGTTTAAAACCTCTGGTTTTAGGAACACCAAGAGATTTGAGTTGACTTTCAATGTGTCATTTGAATACCGACCTGGTACCAGCGAGTCTGTCATTCAGAGAACAGATGGCTGTAAACTCTCGACTGTCAACTGTTTTGTCTTTGTTTAAATCGAAAACCTAACAGAAAAGAGAAAAGTTTACTAAGAGAAGAACACGAAACTCCTTCACTGCCCGCCTAGTGGGGGGCATGGGGGTGGGCACACTCCATCTGTACTACATGTATGATATAAACACAAAAGGTGCTGCAGAGCACAAGAGAAGCAAGCCTAGGAACACGAGGCGTAGCCTGGTATCCCTTGCTTTAAGAGTGCTCTACAGCTCCCAGAGTGTTTTCATAACAGCACAAAGTCATAAGCAGCTTTTAGTGTATTGCTCTTATGAAATATTTGTGAACGATCCTGATATAAACACGGTGGCCAGCCAATCAGCGCGCGCGATATATATTCCTAATATTAATAATAACCAATAAAGAGTTATACGATCACTTCCGCCTTTCACGATAAAAAGGATGTGTATTCTACACCTGTACAAAGTGTTTGATGTCGTCTCTTGATACTGCRGGCATCATCTTTAGTTTTAGCTCTTCCAGGGTCACCGAGCCGTTCTTGTCCTTGTCCACCTCGTCAAACATTGTTTTGAAGGTTTCTTTCTGTTTGGTGTTGATAATACCGAACTTGGATTCCTAAGTTAACATCAAGTGAACTAGTATCAAACCAAATGACCCCYCAATTAGTCAGYGTCGTCACGCAACGCTTTCAGGAAAAAAGGCGTTGCGTGACGACACTGAAAGCGGCGGGCGGCGGTAGGGTAGACTACCCCTCAATACAACCAAGATCCACAAGATAATAGGCCATTTGCAGGAAATAATCACATGGGTGTTACTGGATGGCAAAAATTCAGACTTTCTCGTTTATTTAAAAAAAATAACTGTATTACTAATGTCATATCCAAAACCTTTCCAAAATTACTTTTTTTCCTTATAARATACTTTCGATTTCAAGATACGAAGCAGTTTAAAGTTTGTTTGCCATCCAGCAGAGCCTTCCCCAAGGGACCTTTGGCTGAATTGTTCGTTATCAGCACGTGACCGTTTGTTGCAAAAGGCCTATATTCGAATAACGATAACTTTTCAATGAATGGACCTTATCCACCTAGGCATAATGTTTTCCCAATTTCGGACCACGCGTCATTCTCTTGAGAATAAGATTCTGYGTTTGAGTTGYATCCATATTCATGTGTCTTCTCATGTGCAACCGTTAAATAAAGAAATACACTAGGAAACGATGCGTGGTCTGAAATGGGAAAACATTCCGCCCAAGGCCAGTTAAGAGGACCATTACGCTTATTAGTGCAGTTTTCGTATGACTGTGAAAAGCTCAGTGCCGTAAGCGTGAGCTGCCGTGACCGTGATGCTTTCTAGAATCTTAATTGGCTGATTTTTTCACGCGCAATGTGATTGGTCTGGCATTGCCGTGACCTGGGCGTGACCGTGTCCGCGCCGTGTTTATGCCGTGTTCCGGGTATTTGATTGGATGGAGCGTAAATTCTCGTGCAATATGATTGGTCTGGCGTATCCCTTGCCGTGTCATGGCCGTGTTCGTGCCGTGAATTTTTCACAGTCATACGAAACTGCACTATGGACTATGGACACGTGTCACGTGGACCTACAGGAGGATTCGTATCATTGTCCAAATTCACTTGATTTTCTTGCAGAGCGATTGTCTCGGTTAAGAACATTCTAAAAAAWTRAAATAARAAAGTATTAAAGCCCAATTCAATGTAAAAACGTCAATAACAACGGTGCCAATTACTTACTCGGAAAACTTCGTAACTTCTGCTTTTTTAGATTTTGGAATTTGAGCAGAGATAAAAATTCTGCGGGTAAAAGAAAATAAAAACATTCATATTAACAACTTAAAATAGACACCTGTTTCCACACTCACGGGTGGCGTAGCGGTGAGTAAGCGAAAAACTTAACACGCTGGTTAAATTCCAATTCGATATATATTCGATAAGTTAGCCGTGCCCTGGCTTAGATCAGCCCAGAGTTTGTTTCAGGGTTCGATAAAAATCGAATCGTTTTCGATCTTACAGGATTCGTGCTGATGTAAGCACTTAAAATTCAAGGACTATTCAAGGGGTATACAAGGACCCAAAAATGAATTTTCAAGGAGTATGTTCAGCCAACTACGCCAAGGCTTTACACGGTGGTTGCACATGGCCGACTTTCAGATTTTTCAGATCTTTCTGACTAGATCTATTTCAGAACCATGCAAGTAATGATCAAAGCAAAAATTCAAGGAGTTTTCAAGGAGTTTTGCAAAAATCGTAAAACTTGAAAGAGCTTTTCAAGTGCCCTTGAAAACGTGAATTAAATTCAAGGAGTTTTCAAGGAGGTTAAGGAGTAGCACGAACCCTGATCTTAAAATACCTGTTTGGAGGTGGCTTCCCTGGCTTGTATCGTCCATCAACTTCCTTTTTCTTCTTYCCTAACCATTCATCGAGGTAAGGATTAACATGGTCACTCTTTTCTTCCTGATCCGCCTCACCAGATTTACCATCCTTATCTTTCGTCTTGTCAGCTTTATTCGAATTTTTCGCATTTATTTCGTCCTTAAATCTTATACTTTTTACTTTTTTACGTGGTTTTGTCGAAGATGGTTTGTTTGTTTGGTCTTTAGTGATATGACTCTCTGACGGATTTTCTGAATTATTTACTGTCATTTCGCCTAAGCCGCCTTCGCCTGGGTTTTTGATTCTTTCTCCATCCTCGGTTTCTTTACTCTCTCTTATGTCTGATGAATTTTCGACCAACTTTTCATTGAATTTCTCGCTCTCTTTATTATCATTTATTTGCTGCTTGTCCAAGGAACCTTCGCCAAGTTCGTCTTCTGTCTTTCCATCTTCGAAGTCAACAGAAGTAACACCATTTTGCAATGAGCTTTTTGGTAATTTTATTTTACGACCTCTCATTGAAATGCTGTCGAACTCGTCAATGGAGCTCGTCTCTGATTTACTGTCTTCTGCCCACTTTCCCTCCGTTTCTCCTGGAGCTCGGGCTTGCTCGGGGCTCAAACCCTAAAAAGACAGATTTAGGGCGATGTAAGTCAGTAAAACTTTACAACCGTTCTCATTAGCACCGGCAGAATCGTACCATTTGCCGYGGCATGCAAGAAAATAAAGTTTTGGTGGACTTCAGTCAAAGTGTTTCCATGACACTGTCGGAAAACACAAAGTTTTCAAGAGCACGTGTCTATAGAATGTCATGGAAACGCCTAGCTTGACGTCCATCAAAATTTACTTCTTCGATGGCTTCACGAGAAACGTTTCATTATAGAGCTACTTTACATAGCGAAAGTCCTTACTTTACTTGTCTCGCGACAACTTTTTTGTAAAGGCGCGGGTATAACACCATTTGTAAAACACACAAAGTTCAACTGACCCGTGGTTGATCTGATCCATTCTGTTTTCCAGTGCTTGGTGTTGGTGTACTSACTTGTCCTCCTGGACTTTCCCGAGATGCTTGAAGCTCATTTCTATAGGAATAAAGAAATAATGTGAAAATTATTTAAAATATCGCAATAAACCTCTTTAGCTTGGGCGTAGTAATGTTTTTCCCATTTCAAACGTTTCCTTTATTTGAGTATCACTAAATTCTTTATTTAACGGTTGCACATGTAGCTAAGGAGAAGACACATGAATATGGATAGAAATGAAATGAAGAATCTTATTCGTGCGCCGTGTTCGTGCCGTGTTCCGGGTATTTGATTGATTGGAATGCATTCTCACGCAATGTGATTGGACTGGTGTATGCCTTGCCGTGTCACGACCGCGTTCGTACCGTGAGCTTTTTATTCTACAGTCATACGAAAACTGCTCCATTTTGTCGCGACTGTAAATTTTATGATTGCGCACGTGTTATTGAGAAGCACTTTAAATAGGAAATGAATCCTGATAGTATTGTAGTACATAGTATAAAAATATAATAAGGGAAAAGAGCAGTGCTTAAAATCCTTTGATTATTTTTTTAACATCAATTAAATACTGTTGGCAAAAGTATAGTTTTATTCACTTTACTTACTGTAGACTTTTCATGTCCTTGTAGTTTGCAAGCTGTTTATGATGAGCTAGTAGTTTCAACCTCAATAAATCATTKGTATCAACATCCCATCTTAGTGGAAAAATACAAAGATAAGTTCAACTGAAAGTTTCTGTTTAACTTGAAATAAAATAAGGAGAATTCGAAACATTCTTTGTACAAGAAAAAAATATTTCGAGCCTCGAGGTCACCATAATCACTGAGCCTGAGGGAAATAATTGTTTTAGTATGATTTTAGACTTGAATATCAGAGAGAAGTCGAAATTCAGGATAAAAAATCTTATTAGTATTACTTCCTTAGTATTACTTCCACTCTGTCAAACTTTGGAAAACCTCATATAATCACCGCTTGAGCAGTGATTTATCGTCTCAGAGTCACTGGACTCTCGACCAAACACAGCGCGACGAGTTTCTATTATYCCCTGTTTCAACATCCTTTTTGAGACAAGTCTTTTTCCAAGGTAAATGTTATTGAATAAAATGATCTAACCTGCTTTTCACTGGTATTCTAATTCCACTCATGTAGTATTGCTTGTCAATTCTGTGAGAAATTATCTAACGATAAAAAAGGAGAGGATATTCAATCCTTTAATTCCAATTTTTCAATGGATTTCTCCTAGTGTTTTACCTCTGATTTTCTTTTGAGTCTTCTACAATCACTTTTTGCAATTTCTTCAGCACTTTTTCTTTGTTGTTGAGTGGTGAACAGTGGCCTAAGAAGTGATAACAATTTAAAAATTATTTACGTTGTTGCGATGCCATCTCTGTGCTACTGTAAGTACCACGGCTGTGCCTAGTATATTGAAGAAAAAGAAAATGCACGTGCTCACTGCGTGCAGTTATAAAATGGGGGGATTGGCAGAACACGATTGGCAGAACTGCTACGCGATGTGCTTCTCCTCACAAGTGTCAAGTATTCTTCCAAATTACCAAGACAGTGCTTTATAACTCTACGCAGCACAGTCAGCAAGGTTTTTGATGCTAATTGTAACTGTACAAGATGCAACAACATTTTAGCTAATTAGTTAAGATTTGGGTAAATTGAGCTAGTTGGAGACAATAATTATAATACCATATCTTTTTATCTTTGATATTTGTATTGAATTTGTCTCAATAATCTCTCAAGCCCATGAGCTTTCATCTTTCCATCCCTGCAGCACCCACCCTCCCTCTACACTGCAAACGCTGGCACAAGAGTATATGTCTGTTTTAAAATAGCATRTGACTTACTTTTCATTTGGCCACTTTTCAGGAAGAGATAAAGCCTGATAAATACAAAAACAGAAAAAAATATGCACAATGATAAATCTTTGCTGTTTGCTTCATGAATACATAACTAATTTTGACCACTGTTGACAATTTCATATCTTGGTAAATAAGAGAACATACACTGATAAAACATTGTGAATTCGTTTTTATTATATAGATATCAATGAAATACCAGGTTTTCTCTAGTGTCGAAAACGTGATATCTTTCACCAGTGGAAGATACCATATCTTTCACACGTGAAGATATCGCTCTTGACATAGTAACATATTTTAATAAASAATTTTTGAGCTTTTGTTTTATTTAAGTTTCATYGATATCTTCATAATAAACAGAACATTACATGGCCGCTTGGAGATACGAATTTTATCTTCTYGTGTTCAAGTTAGATATCTCACTCGTTCGCTGCGCTCACTCGTGAGATATCAATTGAACACTCAAAGATAAAATTCGTATCTCCACGCCCCCATGTAATATCCTCTATTTATTACAAAAAAAAAAAAAAAGGAAAAAAAGTTTGAAAGAAAAACAGTTTAAAGTGCGCACTAGCTCTGTGCATGAGCGATTCATAAATTCGTTGACATAATTTGTTGGCATGTCCTATTATTTACCACAGCTCTCAACTAATCAAAAAGCAAAAAAAAAATTTACATTTGTGGTGAAATTTATGATATTACTTTGGTATAACTTACAGAATGCCGAGTGACTGACAGCGGTATAGTTCTAGTGCTACCAGGGGCTGTATGGGCATATTTCTTGGTAAGCGGCATGGCAGGTAAAGATGTGGTCTTGAAACGAGTRGTTTGACTAACAAGAAATAAAATTTAAAAAATTTGTTTATACACGGTAGGCTTTCAAGTTATGAACTTGTGGGGCCGTGTATCTTTTATACATACTACTAATTATTACTATATTCAAATATTCTTTTCGCACAACTCTCAACTCACATGTTGATTTTTATGGAGGGAGGAAAACCGGAGAACCTGTAGAAAAACCCTAGTGGCATTGGGAGAGAACAACACATCAAACAAACTCAATTCACATGTAACTTATTAATTATTGGCCAATGGGCAAATATTATCAGAACCAGTAGACACAGTCGTATAACTGTTCTTTTTTTTTCTAAACCAACTTACTGGAAATTATAGTGTCTGTCTTGCTCAATACTATTGTCATRGCAACCATATGTTACAGATGACTGTTGACAAAGCAAAAACAAAAAACAGTGATCGAACTCATACATTTCTACTGCTTGTTGTGAAATTGATTTTTCGTTGCCGCCAGTCAAATGATTATTTTTGATTGACGGCAATACTACTGAGTTTGCAGAAAACCACAATAAAGCCAGGTAAAATATATATAAAATAAATATAACATATTTATAGATATAAATAAGATGAAAATACTTAACATAAAAATCTAATACTACTTGTTTAGTTTGAAATTACTTAGAGAGCTACAAGTCCTAAAACTTGATGGAAGACTGTTCCTTAGTTTGGCTCTAATGTAAGATAGGCTTCACTTTGGGTAGAGGGCCTTTTGAGTTTGTRGTGTGGGGGGAGGGGAGAGGGGCATTTTTGTCGAATGATACTCTCTATATATATATGATTATATAACCTACATCCACTTACTTTTAAAGCTAATTCTCGCGATTCCACTCTTCCTGGAGCAGAATAAGTACTTCTAGCAGGGCTGGGAACAATAATTCTCCTAGGAGAAACAGGCGATCTTCCACGAACGTGTCGTGTATGTATAGTCTCCTTTCTGAGTTCATCAGCCTTGAACTTCATGGAAGGAGAGACGACTTTACGGTAGAGATTCGTGACACTCAAATCCCCTGATATTATATATAAAGAAATAAAACTGTGAGTATTCACTCAGAAGCCTGTGCTAACTTCTAACACGTAGCGGCTAATAACGTGAAGTAATTAAGAACCACTTGAAAAGCCATAAACTCAAAACTGTCTCCATGGTGAGGTCGGAGAGGGAAGAAATTTTYCCCCCTTAGTTTTGTCGCTCCGTTAAAATGGAGAGCAAAAAGATATTTAAAGAAACTTTATACATCGATAAATAGAAACAAGAAGGATACTAGGAGACTCATGAGATTACGGAAGATAATCAAACTTACCCATGTTTAGTTACAATAGGAAGCCATTAAAGAACAAAAGAACATTCGACTGACTACATTCCTTGACAGAATCCTCCAACACAAAATAAACCCMAAAAAACTTTCTAAAACTCCAAGATTCGAGAGTCAACGCTTAAAGTTCAATGCCGGTAGAGTCTTAAAAGATTTTAGCTTAGATCGAAGCCTGTGATATCTCTTGATCCGCCGTATGTCGTATTTTTGAGGCGAATTTTAATTACTGTAAATAAAMGAACTTGATATGCATAATTAGCGGTCTTAGTTACGCACGGTTCATTTGCATATCAGGCAAGGATGAGCCTGCGAAATGAAATCGACAGCGGATACACACACTTTTCTTTTCATTTCATTTCATTTCATTTC